GATGGAAGCCATGTGCCTGTTAAAAAAGTTGATCAGTGGAAACAAGTAGATTTCCAGTTGTGTGCCCTATTATGGCATTCAGTGGAACCAAAACTTTAGTATCTCTGAGGGCTTTCAAAACTTGTCACTCCTTTTGGAAGAAAGCTCAAAGCATTTATGCCAACGAGATTCAATGTCTCTATGACACTGGAAACAAGCTTGCATCTCTTAAAATGGCAGACCATGATATGGTGTCCTTCATGGCTGAATCCCAATCTGTTGTCGAAGAATTCAAGATGATTTTGGAAGCAGACCCATTAGAGGATATTAAGAAGAAACAAGACAAATTTTACATGGTGTTGATCCTTCGTGCTCTACATCCCGATTTTGATCATCATAGAGATCAACTTCTGACCAATCATGAGGTCCCCTCCATGGAAACATTGACCAATCGCCTTCTGCGTGTCCCGGTACCTCAAACTCAGGAAGTGCATGAACTAGTGGAGTCATCTGTCATGGTTGCCACACGGAGAAGAGGAGGATGTGGCACTAGAGGAGGAGGAAGAGGAGGTCAGGGGCGTCCTAAATGCACATGGTTTCCCTTCCAAAACCGCCAATATTTCGAAGACTGAAACTTCCACTTCTAAGTTCACCGAGGATGAATATCAAGAGTATCTAAGGTTAAAGTTTAAAAGCTTGGCATAGCCATCTCAATCTCCCAAGACATCAACAACCTGCATTTCTCAATCCATGGAAGCTCAAAATTCATGGGTAATTGACTCAGGTGCTTCTAATCACATTTCTGGTAATACCTCTTTGTTCTCATCTATATACTTTTAAGAAAAACCTCATTTAATAACCCTTGCAAATGGATCTAAAAGTTCCTCTAGAGGAGTCGGTCATGTTTCCTTGTCTCCCTCCCTCAATCTCAACTTTGTCCATTTTGTCCCTAATTGTCCTTTTAATTTAATTTCCCTAAGCCAGTTGACCAAAATGTTAAATTGTTCAATAACCTTTCATCACAAATCTTTTGTTATATAGGAGCGTGGTTCGGGGAGACAGATTGGAGAAGAATATAAAGCTAGCGGATTATAGCATTTTCTATCCATCCCTTGGGGATGCCATCTTAAGTGCATGTTATCTTATGAATAGAATGCCCTCCTTTTCATACACCTCCCCAAGTGTTTGGTTGTGTATGGTTTGTTCATGACATGTCTCCAGGTCTAGACAAACTCTCCGCTTGCGCTCTCAAATATGTCTGTTTAGGCTATTCTCAACTCCAAAAAGGATATCGATGTTACTCTAATGACACTAAGAAGTATTGCATGTTTGTCAATGTCACATTCTTTGAACAGACTTCTTACTTCTCTCCATTTGTTCAGGATGTTTCTATCCTCCAGCAAGTCCTTCCTATTCCAGTGGTTGAGTCAAATAGCTCACATGTCTCTGTCATTCCAAGTCTTGATCTTAATCCTCCTATACCTGTATCTGTCATTCCAAGTCTTCATCCCAATCCTCCTGCACTCGTCTCTGTGATTGCAGAAATGCAGGCTCTTGACCACTGTAATACTTGGGAGCTGATGCCCCTTCCCCTGGGCAAAAAGGTAGTCGGTTGCCGATGGGTGTATGCAGTTAAAGTTGGCCCTGATGTGAAATTCATCCGCTCAAAGCCCGGCTTGTTGCAAAAGGTTACACTCAGGTTTATGGTCTTGATTATTGTGACACTTTCTTTGCTATAGCAAGATGACTACTATTCCCCTCTTCTTTGCCATGGCAGTCATCCGTCACTGGCCACTTCATCAATTGGATATCAAGAATGACTTCCTACATGGTGATCTTGAGGAAGAAATCTATATGGAGCAACCTCCTGGGGTTGATCAGGGAAAGTCTGCTATAGTATACAAATTGCATCAACCTCTATATGGCCTCAAGCAATCACCACGTGCTTGGTTTGGAAAGTTTAGCTCCATTCTTCAAAAATTTGGGTTAAAACACAGTGAAGCAGACCATTCGGTTGTTTACTGTCATTCTTCTCTTGGGAAATGTGTTTACTTAATAGTATATGTTGATGATATTGTCATTACAGGAAATATATTGTTGGAATATCTCAACTGAAAGAGTACTTATGTAGAAATTTTCAAACCAAGGATCTTCGAAGTCTTAAATACTTCTTACGCATTAAAGTAGCACAGTCAAAAGATGGAGTTGTAATCTCCCAAAGGTAGTATGCTCTTGATATATTACAAGAAACAGGCATAATTAATTGCAGACCGATAGACAGTCCCATGGATCCAACTCAAAAATTAAGGACAGAAGAAATTGAATTATTCTCCGATCTCGAAAGGTATAGGAGGCTGGTTGGAAAACTGATTTATCTCACTATTACAAGTCCAGATCTATCTTTTGTAGTTGGAGTGGTTAGTCAGTTTATGCAGGCTCCATGTGTTGACCATTGGAATGCTCTCATTCGCATTTTAAGGTATATCAAAAAGGCTCCCGGGCAAGGATTGTTATATGAAGATAAAGGAAGCATTCAGGTTTTTGGCTATTTTGATGCTGTTAGGGATGGAGAGTTTACGTGAGAAGGAATAAAACATGGAATACCTAACTGTTTTGGCAGTTAGGTGGTGTGGGTATTCGTTTGTATAAATAGCTAGCTGAATAGAGGAGAGTTAGTGAGTTGTTTTGGAGAATTCTATCAGGAAACCATTATTCCTGTGGGGGAGGTTAAGCTCCCATTTGCTTACTGTACATTGTATTCTTGCTATTGATAACACAAAGAGGAATTATACAGTCTTTCTGGTATGTTAGTCTGGTGGGTTAGAGTGGGTTTCTTTAGGTTTCTTGACTAGAAACCTAACATTTTGGTCTGAACTTTCGGATAGGAGTGGGGGTGCACGTTCAAGAAGTAATCAAGAAACTGTCGGATAGGAGTGTGGGTGCACGTTCAAGAAGTAATCAAGAAACTGCCGGATCCCAATTGGGCACGTTAGGGAGAATGGAGAGAGATATGGAGGGAAGACTGGAGGCAATCAAGATTACAATGGAGGGGATGAAAGCGGAATCAGCTGCAGTACGAAGGGATTTACAGCAGATAATGAGGATATTAGGAACGAACGCCAATAACGCGAAGGGACATTCCGATAATTCTGTGAAAGAGAATCCACAGCGAGGAGTGGGGGAAGTCGGAAGCAGAGGGGTCTTCGACTGCCATGACGATCAAAGACCATGGCGAAAAAGGGTGGATTTGCCTACGTTTGACGGGCGGGAGCCCCTTAGTTGGATCAACAGGGCGGAGACATTCTTTGATATCCAGAAGGTGGCAGGCGAAGAAGAAAAGGTGGAGCTCGCGTACGTTAGCACGGAGGGAAGTGCGGCTTACTGGTTCAAGTTCTCGAAAGAAAAGGCAAAGAACCGTTCTTGGGAAGGCCTGAAGACAGCCATGGTCAACCGGTTTGGAGGAGGATTCCAGGGGACGGTGTTTGAGAGGCTGGCGACATTGCGCCAGGAGGGTAGAGTGGAGGAGTACGTTCGCGATTTTGAGATTTTGATGGGTCAAACCAAGGGCGTACCCGAAGAAAAAGTCTTGGGCTATTTCCTCGCCGGGTTGCTCGAGGACATCAAGGGACAGGTGAAGATTCAAGATCCCCAGGAGTTGATGGTGGCAATACGAATCGCGCGCGACGTGGAAAATGCGGCGCTCCGAGCGAAGGGAGGCAACTGGAGTGGGTTCAAGATTAACCCATCAGGATCGCGTTCGATGGGGGTAGTGGTGCAATCCGAACCTAATAGACCCACGATGAATCAGTCCGGAGGAACGGAGAGTATGGGGTCGGTGAGGAGAGAAGGAGTCCCAACCAGTTCAAAGGCAAGGGTGAGTACCACCAGGGAAAACGACAACAGAGGAAGAATGGTGAGGAACCTCCCTTACCCAGAATTCCTTAAGAGGAAAGAAAAGGGTCGGTACTTTCGTTGTGGGGGCCCTTTCGCCCTTGGCCATCATTGCACTGAGAGAAGTTTGCGGGTGTTGCTTTTAGCGAAGGATGAGGAAGACGATGAAGAGGAGGATTTGCCACCACCCAAGCCTCTTGATCAAGCCGAACGGTAACTGGGACAACCGAACGGTATCAACAGGATAGACCGAGCGGTACCGATAACAGACCGAGCGGTTAAGGGGGATAACAGACCGAGCGGCCGAACAGTACCAGCAGGAGAGACCGAGCGGACAAGTTTCCCGTTTCCAACCTTGAGGACAAGGTTGTTCGGAGCGGGGTGTAATGTTAGGGATGGAGAATTTACGTGAGAAGGAATAAAACAGGGAATACCTAATTGTTTTGGCAGTTAGGTGGCGTGGGTACTCGTTTGTATAAATAGCTAGTTGAATAGAGGAGGAGAGTTAGTGAGTTGTTTTGGAGAATTCTAACAGGAAACCATTATTCCTGTGGGGGAGGTTAAGCTCCCATTTGCTTACTGTACATTGTATTCTTGATGTTGATATGCAGATTGGACAGGTTCGCCTATTGATAGACGGTCTACTACAGGATATTGGGTTTTTCTGGGATGAAACATTATTTCATGGTAAAGTAAGAAACAAAATGTAGTAGCTCGATCAACAGCTGAAGCCGAGTATAGGACAATGGCGTCACTCACATGTGAACTTATATGGGTGAAACAATTCCTTCAAGAGTTTAATTTTTGTGACATCCATACTATGAAGATGTATTTCGATAATCAAGTTGCTCTCCACATTGCATCAAATCCAGTGTTTCACGAGAGGACTAAACATGTAGAAATTGATTGTCATTTTGTCCATGAAAAGTTGTTGACTAAAGAAATATGTACTGAGTTTGTTGGGTCAAATGATCAACTCACAAATGTGTTGACCAAGTCATTAAGGGGTCCTCGGATCGAGTTTATTTGTTCCAAGCTTGGTACATACAATTTGTATGCTCCAGTTTGAGGGAGAGTGTTAGATATATTATCTTTATTTTATATTTATCTTTTATCTTTAGTTAGTTTGTTATTATTTCTTATTTGTATTTTGGGCTTAGCCCATATTTCTTCTATTATAAATAAAGGACCCTATGTGTCTATTCAACACAAGGTAGATTAATCTCATATAGTTTTCACTATTTTCAACTGTAATCTTGTCTCCATTAACTTAACTCGCGAGTTTGACAACTATAATCATGTGTATTCGCACTATGAAAAGAGCATACACAAATAGAATTTTCATTTCATGATAAACTTTCTAAGAGAAATTAATTTGGACCTACTTTTCATCAAACATAACCAGCATACAATGCAAAAACGTAACAGTAGATGGAACAAAATATTTAAAATCAGTCAAAGTTACAACACGAGAAGGATGTTGTATTCTAATAATCTAATAATCAAGTACAACCCAGACAAAATAAACAGAACTGAAGAAACCTAAGGACTAAACGATCAAGGAACTAAAATGCAAGATTTGGTCAATAAGAAAATCCAAAAGCACAAAAAATATAATCTTACATAGGCTGATCGGATGCCTTAGCTCCAGCCCTAATAAGACAGTAACTAGTTCCACCCATTATTGATGAAAAGAGACCCAATAGAATTGCAAATATATGATGACCTGTCTTAGCTTGTGCATTGCTTGCTTCCTTAGCTTTGACAAAGTATCCTGCAAAATTTAAATTCTGAAATTAGGAAGAGTAGTTAAAGTATATCTACCATTCTAGTGAACCTAGATGATCCAGGCTATATTCCCAGCAATCAATTACCATCTAGACAAAGTATTACCTCAGACCTCCTGTAACAAACAGTTCAAAGGCCTGTGGGTAGTCTTTTCTCCTTTTTATTAAAGTGGGGCATTCACAATACAACACACGACAATTTGGCCAGTAAATTGAATTTAAAACCCAATGTATTATTAAGTTTATATCAAATGTAAGAATATTATAGTTGAAAGGAAAAACATACCAATAAAATTATACAGAGGAAAATCCAATTAAGACTCTAAGAAATGGAAACAACTATCATACCTTCTGTAGCAAGCGCTTCTCGGAAGAAGAACAGCACACCAAAGAAACAGCAGGCAAGACCTAAACAACAGCAGCTTTGAATTAATTAATCAGTACTTGCAATTGATATTAAATTCTTAACTTAAATACATATCAACTTTTCTAACCTCGTACATGTAGTGTAATATGAAATTTATACTTGTAAATTCAGAATTATGAAATAATTAAGAATTTTTTATTTAGTTGTTTCTTGCGTAGGCCATAAATATTTTACAAGTTGACTTGTTAAGAATTTATATGCAAATATAGGTTGACATTGCTTGAATTTTGAAGTCTGACAAACTTGCCCAAGTAGAATGACATTTATATCAGTTCAATGTTTCAAGTTTTCCATCATATTCTACTTCATCTTTAACGAATATATCTGAATTGTATAAGCACAAAGATTACATCAGCTATAAGATCTCATAATTTTGTTACAGATAATTACAATTAGTATATTACAGTTAACAGTTTGCAAACTGCTTTCTAAACAGGAAATAGCATTGCAAGAATTTAAGCTAGAAGTATGAAAGTAATACGTTATACAGACAAGTAATGGAGAAAAAGTACTGAAAAATAATTAAGTAGAAAATCAGACTTTAAAGTTTCTCTCTTTTTCATAAATTTAAAATATAAGGTAATTTCAGAGAAGAACTGTTACATCTTACTTGCAATATCAGCAACTTTTAATTTATCATGCAAAAACACCCTGGCCATAATTGAAGCCATAATAGGAACTGTTGAGTTCAATACAATGGCCTGAGAGAAAGGCAGCCTTTGAGAGCTGAAAAATAACACATTGTTTTATTACTGTAATTGGCAACCCATGAAATCCTCAATGAGAAAAAAAAATTCACATACAATAGAACACAATGATATTGTTATAACTAAAAATATAAAGTTAATTCTATAAAAGCAAGGATATCTAGATTATATAGGCATTATTAGGAACGATTTTATTTATTCTCACATCATATCTTCTTTATTAGAGAATATGAAATATCTTCAACTTATTATATTGATTCCTTTTTCTCCGACATATAAAGCATCCATAAAGCATTCACGGCTTCAGCATGTACGACAGCATCTGTTTTACACATCTTTATGTTTTGGTACTAATCTAATTACAATCCAAAAAATTACACATGACATTGAAAGTAGGATATTTCACATTCCTTACATGGTCGTCTTCGTCAATCTACTGCATGGTCCAAACTAATCCTCCCTCAACAATGTAATGTGGATCTTACTTCATTTAATACCGCAGGACACTATGCTATTGTCAATGAACTTCTCAAATGGTACGAGGATTGTTAGAAACCTAGTTCCACTACTTTTGTTGCATACATGGGTACATCTTTTGTTGGCCTAAATCACTCTCCTTTCCTTGGACTTTGGGTTCTTGACTCAAGTGCCACCAATCATATTACGGGCAACAAATCGTTGTTTTCTTCTCTATCTTCTATGGGTTATTACCTTCGGTTACCATAGCTCATCGATCTAAGGTCTTACCCCATACTATTAATCTTTTCCCTTCTTTGTCCATTGATAATGTTGTTTATGTTCCTGATTCTCCATTTAACTTATTATCCAGGCTACTCTTCATATTAGCTCTAATCTTGTCTTTAAAGAAAGGACCAAGTACATTGAAATTGTCTATCATTTTATTTGAGAAAAGATTGTATCTAGAAATATCAAGACTAATTTTGTTAACTCAAGCGATAGTTAGCAAATATTTTCACAAGTCTTTACGATGACCTAGAATTGATTATATTTGGAACTAGTATGGTACATATGATTTATAGCACCAGCTTGAGGAGGAGTGTTAGATATTGTTAAGATAATGTTAGTTATGGTATGTTATGTTAGTTACGATATATTAGTTACGATATCTTATGTTAGTTACAATATTATGTGTATTTGGGCTTAGCCCATATTTTCCTTTATTACAATAAATATATTACCTTGTGTATTTTCTACACAAGGGGAATTAACCTCTTTCTTAGTTTTCACTATCTTCACAATTATATTGATTGATTTTTCACAATACATAAGGTATTCATGTTGTCTCATAAACACGTGGTTTCATATGAATGTTCATCTTTTTTCTAGAGTTTGACAAAATTGAAAGGTTGGAAAGGAAGAAGTGAGTTGCACTAAACTCTATCTATGGAGCAAACCATTAATGATGTAAAATTACGAATGAAAATTTTACAAAACTTAATATGAAGAATATTGTCTTTACATACTAATTATTAGTTACAACATGCATGATTAGTTACGAAATGCAATTCGAATCCTTTTGAAAAGTCTTTATCTAATGTTGTACTTCTAAGAATTAGAGCAATAACTTATCAAACCCAAGAGCTTTAAAATATATATAGTGTATGAATAACCAACAGTGAAGAAAAAAATATCATCCGGTGTCAAAATATTCTAAAATTATGACATTTTTATTAGAATAAAAAGATAAATACTGAAGGGGTAAATAGAGAAAAAAATCCCAAAAGAACAAATGAAATGCTGAAAATAATTAAAATGAGAGGGAAAATACTATGACCACTTACCAATATATAAAACTTGACATTGATATACATCCTGTAAGGGCCCTTAAAAGTAAAATGATTCTAACTTGGGATGTTCCAAATACTGGTTGTTCACTCCATCTCAACCACAAATATGACAGTATCAAGGTAATTGCACATCTTGTAAAAGCAGTCTCAAACAAAGGAATTGCCTGAACTGCCAAATCAAAATTGTTATTGCAAAAATTAAAATAGGAAACACTTTAAAAGAACGGAAAAGTAAAATCGAGAACTGTAAATCCTGAAAATATATCTTAAAGTTAACACAATAGATAAATAAATGTATATTAAATTTAACTGAGTATTTAAATAAAAATATAACAATAAATGTTAGAATTAGAAGGTATAACTAACATAGATAGTATGTCAAAATTCTTAAGATGCAAAGCTATTTTGTTGAAAAAGATTTCAAGAGTCTTGGTGTTCCATCCACTTTCTGTTTGAATACCCCTTGAGTCCGTTACTAATACTTAAGATTGCAAAATCTATATATTGAGTATTAACTCAAACAATATTCAGTTTTAACAACTGATGTATGATTCAGAGATGTAGCTCAAAAAAATATTTATTTAGTTTCAATCAAATATAGGGCAAATAAATACATTAGTTGTTGGCAGGGTTCAAAATTTATGGCTGCATCACATGATGTGGCTAGAACATCTCAGCTGTGGTGGCATCAGAATGTGGCTGCTGACCATATTGTCCATAGTTGACCATGTCCATCCAGGACACACAGCACAACCATGCTCCGCTCAAAACAATGGACACGGGTAAATAAAGAGGGGCAGGAGTGGTTAGAGAGGGTAAACTTAGGCTAATTAATTTTTATCCCCGAGGGTTGTGCAGTGAAAACTAATATTGATGTTGTTGTAATTAGAGAAGATATCTTTAGAATCTTCCTAATTAGAGAAAATAGATATATAATCTTCTATTTTATTTTGTTTACCTAGTTTTCCTATTTCCCTTTTTGGGAGAATTAGATTGTTAAAAATAGAGATATGAGAATGTATTTTTTATGATTTAGAATATAATAAAATCAGTCCTTTTTTCAACTTGGTGTCAAGGCTCCCAATCTTGGGGCTCCGTTCCGCTGCACAACTGCACCGCCGCCGCTGTCCGACCACCACTATTGTCGTCGTTGCCAGTTGGGGTCGTTGATAGGACAGAAAGGTGCGCCCAACACCGGCGACCAAAACACCGGAAGTCGCTCCGTGAGAGAAGCCGCCACTCGCCGCCATCGTCACCAGCGCGTGTAGCCCACGCGCCCACCTCTAGCGAGACCCACTCGCCGCTGCCACCACAAACAGAGTCGTCGAAGCCTCCTGAATCTGTTCCTAGGGTTGGTGACGACCCGTTTGGCCTATATTTGAGTAGATCTGAGTTTTAAGTTCTGCCCCTTTTCTTGGTGTGAACCACACGCCGTCGTCGTCTCGGAAAAGGTCACCGGAGACTCCTGGTTGCGTTCTACGGCATGATTTACAGAGTACTTTTTATTAAAGGATCTCGTGTTTCCACTCGTTGTCCGGCCGCTATCGGACCACCCATTAATTTCTACTATCACACACGAGATTTCTATACCTCGACGTGAAGGGGGTGTGTTGGAAGTCCCACATCGACTAGAGATAAGGCTAATTTATAATATGTAAGTGAGGTGCAAACCTCACCTTACAAACCGGTTTTGGGGGGTTGAGTTAGGCTTAAACCCACTTTCTAACTTTGTATCAGAGCTTGTCTGATCCGCTTCCGCTGTCTTTGCTGTCCGCGGTTGGCCGGCGCTATGGCCACCGGTGGCCGGCCACTATGGCCGCCGACGGCCCCTAAAAGTCTCTTCTTTAACATGTGTTTGTAATGGGTTCCAATTGCCCTAGTCAAGTTCTGCCTTAGAATTCTGGCCTTTTTCCAGTATTACCAAATACAGAGTTTATTTGAGTATGTGATTAGAATGGGATTCAAACCCATTCCCTTTCGAAGCTGAAACTGGTGCTTTAGATTTGTTGATGCCCAATCAATTTTGGCTCCTTTTGGCATTCTTATTGACTGCCAGTTGCATCAAAGAGACCGAAAGTCTCTTCTTCGAAGAACCCATGAAAGGCCACTCCCTTCACTGTTTATTCCGCTGTGCACCGTGCTCTCCTCCATCGACCACCATCGTCCTCCGTAAGCCGCCAGCCACCGTCGCACTTTTGTCGGGTGACCAACGGATTTGGACCGCATCCCTAACCGGCGGCCAATCACGCCGGTTCTGAGGGCTACCTCTCCTTCACGTGCCGCCGCCAAATTTGTTCGACCGTCGCCGGCCACCGTCACAGTTTTGACCGGTGACCAGCGGATCTGGATCGTCTCTTCAAGCGCAACATAACCCTGGTGGTCGATGTCTCTATCTCGTCCGCATGCGCCGTCACACGCCTGCTCTCTCCGGTAGATCTCTCCGATAGATCTCGGACACGTGTTCATCACGCGTCGCCGTCCGCACAGAGATGCTGCGCGTGGTGGCACATGGACGAGAACTAGACTTCAGCACCAGCAGAGTTGGTTGTCGCGCGGAGAGGCGAACCAGATATGGTGGTCACTGGACGATACTCTAACGGTGACCAGCAGTAGACGGCGGTAGATGGTGGCGGACAATGGCAAACGTTGTCGGACAGTTGCGGACAGCAACTAGGGTAGAAGACTAGACAAAAGCTAGAGTGGGATCGAACCGATACCAACTTGAGATTGAAACTGTAAAATAATTCTAGGGGGCTTGCTTTCACTCTCATTCTATATATAAGAAAGTTCAGATACAACATACAGTAGTTCTGATACAATAATGATAAATAAGGTAAATACTCTAACAATGATAAATAGGGTAAATATTCTAACAAAATTTTACGTTCTTCCTCACCCTTCCCAAAGAATGTATGACAAAACTTCAAAGTTTAACTCCATGGAAATGCACAATCACAATTGCTAGGTACTTTCAACAAAATAGCATTTTAATTGGTTGTTACCACTATTATGTAAATGCATCGCATGTATACTTGCATACTTGTGTGATCCTACGAATTTGGGGGACATAGCAAGCTAAAGCATGCAGCAGATCAGAGGAGGCACCAACATTAGCTGGACTGCAGGGTTGCTCATGAAATCCCGGGATCATGTGAGCAAGCTAAAGGACACCACAGATTGGAGGACACAATCTTAGCTGGATTGAACAGTTGCTCATGAAATCCCAGGATCATGCGCCACATAGAACAATTTCAGTTTGAGCAACTAAGTTCAAGAATTAAAAGAGCCCATTTGTTGACTAAAAGACCCAATCTAACCCGCAAAAGAAGCACAACCCATTCACAAATAAAAAAAGCAAACTACTTTTGATGGTGCACTCTAATGTTGACAGCCATAGAAGTACCAATGCTACTGCCACATATGCTAGCTTCACAGTTGTCGGCCATCGCAGCATTCACAGCAATTGTTAATGGTGCTACCTTGTATTTTCTTTCTCTTCTTGTCAAAGAGTGTTTTTTGTTCTTCTTGGAGAGTGCTTTGTTTTTTCCTGCTAGAGAGAATTCTGTTTTGTTTATAATTTGAAGACTAAAATGAAATTGGCGGAAGGTGATTCAGATCACATCACTAGATATGGAAGTGGTATTGGAGGAAGGACTAATTCCTGCATGGAGTAATTGTGCTTCAATTGATGGGAAAGTGAGAAATGTGAAGTAAACATATTGTGAAGGTTTAGGGTTTGTATATGTATGTGTGTGTGTGTGTGTATATATATATATATATATATATAGATGTGTGTGTGTGTTTGTGTGTGCGTTTGTTATTTTTAAAATTAGCTTACCCTTTTGATTGTGGTGTTTTTGTTGTTTGCTGCAATGACCCACCGAACAGAAGATACAATAGGTTTGGAGAATGTGCAGCAGTAGCAGATGCAAGAGAACCCGTAGTATAGGAGATTTTCTATCACATGTGTATTTTACTTTTCATTTTTTAGTGTATAATTTATGTATGAACCTTTTATGAATCTAAAAGGAACCGAAATATTGGTTTACATGTTTATGATAAGATTTCTATACTTGCCATATCCAAAATTTAACTAATCATACCACTAGTATCGCTTAACCAAACGTGTTTTGTGAGCTATAATTCAATAGACATGATATGCATTGTAAGGGTAATGTGACACCTAGTGTTGGGGCATTATAGAAGCCATCTCAGATAAGTGACCAACCCAGAGAACAAATAACAGAAACCCTAAAATTCTGAGAGAGCACATGTCACAGCACAAAGGTGTGCCGGAACAGTAAAATGAAGTCAGAACCGGAGATAGAAGAGTTCGTCAAGTCAAATGAAGGTGTTGCTGATAAGTTCTGACGGCAAGAAACATGGCACATGGAGGACACGTGCCACAGATAAGAATGACATAGATTGACACATGACAACACAGATGATTGGCTGGTTGTGTGACCACCATGATTGGATTGTGCTCCTCAATGCACACCTAGCCCTATTTCTTTTTATAAAAAACGGTAGCAGACAGCAGTGGAGATGATGAAGACAATAGCAGGATCGAACAAATAGGATGGATAGAGAACCGCATATATCTTGCATATTGTGTTTCTTGTTAATGTATATAGGACACAAGGAGGCAAGACACTTTCCTATTGGGTACACAAAAGGAAATATTAATAAAACAACTTTACATTTCAACAAGCATCACCAAACGATATACTACAAGACTAAAAGAGTCTTACTAGAGTTGAAGAATACAAGAAGTGCTGGACAATGTACATGCAACCAACAACTTACGTTAGATGAAGCACGTGCATCAGATGAAGACCAAGCATTAGACTTAAACCATGTAGAATAGAACCAAAATAGTATGATAAAACTTAGGTTAAGCCCAAAGGAAATTCACAATCAGAATTGCTAGCTACTCTCAACTAAATACTTTTTCCAGTCGTTGTTCCCTTATTCTGCAAATGCATAATGTCAAGCAGAACCTACAACATACCATGCAAAACAGCAGAACATTACCAGAAAATACATTTGTAAGAACCCCCATGAGAAAGTAGATGGTAGATGAGAAAGCCATACAAAGTAAACCAGAGTATCTGGACCCATTCCACACCCACAATATAAAATTTGTGAAAGGAGATGTCTCAGACTCAAGTAGTCTTGTCACCTCATCCTGCAGTAAAATATAAGGCAAAGAGATTAACTCTACTTCATTGTTCACTTTGGTTCTGTTATCTATTTTCTTTTTCTCTTTTTAAGAGGAACACAACAAATCAACTTTCCCTTAGTCTATAATAATAAATAGAAACCTACACAAGAATCCAGTATAGACAAAATTTGTTTCAAAGCAAATTTGCAGTTTACTCAGCCACAAATATAAAAGCCCCCATCCATTACATTTCAGTCATGTCTTACTCAATTTATTGTGCTTTTAGGCGCATATACAAAGGAATAAAGCCAATACTTGGGATTGAATTTTATTATAGGTTTCTGGTTCAAAGAAAATTATAAGTACAACACATCAATATACCAAAATTTTATAGTATCTATGATATTTACTGTTATATTATAGAAATAAGGTGCAAATCTTTTATAATCAAGAGTATTTAGATTATGCGAAATATTCTAAATTTTACCTATGAAGAATGTTCTTGATTTTTTTTTCTTCCTATCTTAGGTGTTTCTACAATATTCTAAAATTTGTATTACATTTTAATACTTCTATCTTAGAATTTTCTATATTTATCTAGAATTTTCATTACACTTTAATATTGAAAATGATGTGTCTAGTTTAAAACATTTGTCTAGTTTGAATTGTAAATCATATTAGTTAGAAAAACATATTCGTCAGGCTTTTCCTAAGTCTTACTAAACGAGTCTCGTTTATCTTAGTTCACTTTGGTATTTAGAACCTTCTTGCACTGTTACTCTTACTGGTTTTATATATTTTATTACCTTTATTGACACCTATTTTAGATGTACTACAATTTGATTAATGAAAGATCGACCAGAAGCATTTTCAATCTTTAAAACTTTTCTAATGAAATTAAAACACAATTTGCAAAAGTGATTTGAGTGTTTTCTTCTATTTATTATATTGATTCTGTTTTCTCTATATAAACAAAGCACCTGTACATTCTCAAAAACACAGTTTAGCACAATGTCTCTATTAATTATAATTTCAAATTTATTATAGATTTCTGGTTCAAAGAAAATTATAAGTGTGACAACACATCAATGTACCAAAATATTTACAATTTCAAAACATATTCGTAATGTAATATGTAACAAAATAAAGAGTTCACTATAAACAAGAAATAGTAGCACCTTTATGTGCAGGAATACAATACAAACACATGTACACCTCGGGTAGGATTTTTAATAAACTAATAAGTAATTATAAACTACATATATTTCATTGCAATTTCAATGTTCATCTTTGTCACTCCGCTATTCACCCTGCCATGTGCAAGATGCACTTTAGGACCCAAACCGAATACATAAAAATATAACATAACACTCATATATTCAAACCCAAGACCCTTACAAACTTATGTATGTATTCCTACATGACCTAAATCACCTGTCTATTACATCCCCATCCAAAAAAACTCTAGATAACAATCTACCTAATGATCCCCGATCCAAATCATCACTAAGCCAACTCCAAGTCATCACTAACATAAAACTCAAATTGAGGAATCCCTACCTAATGCAGCTCATTCACAGAATTTTGTTCTAATTATAAGCAAATGTCAATTTTGTGCAATAATGGGCGTCAGAGTTTGTGACAGTGAATTGAAAACTTAAGAGAGTTTAATTTATTTTCAATTATTTATCACGAGTTATATAAAAAATAAAAGAGGAGACAAAATAAAAGAAAAGAGAGTACTCTGGGTTTTGTGCGAGGGTAAGAAGCAGTGAAGATGTTGATCTTGGGTCTTTCCTGAGAGAGAAGAGGGGCAATTTGGTCTTTGTCCTCGGAATCGGCTTCAGCATCAGAAGAAAGTGCTGATGCATCGCGCACGATGAGCTCAACAACGTGATCTGATGCGTCTTTGGATTCAGAGGTTGCCGTTGCCATTCGCGCATTCAGATTTCAGCAGACAAATATAAAATCCTCCAAACAAATGGAAATGTTGCTCTTGTCAAGAAGAAGATGAAACTTCAAACTCAAAAGCCACTATGAAATGGACACAGGAATAGACAATGGTTAGAGAGAGACGTCCAAGGAGTGTTTGTTGTTGATCCAATTATTATTTGGTTATTCACCCGTGCACACGAACTATTTTTTAAAAATAAAATATATTTATTACCTAAATTTAAGTTCAGTAAAATATATTATTTAATTTTTGGTTTGTAAAATTAAATAATAATATTTTTTATTTTGGATATAGAAATGTATTTAAAGTATTTATTATTTATATCTTTCTGTACTTTTTCACACAATAATAAAATTAATTTAAATAAAATAACTAAATTCAAACTAATTTTAATAATTATTAAAAATTTATTTACAACATATATATAAATAATATTTTATAATTGATATTTCTTTCCAAATATTGTTATCAACTATTTTTTAAAATATATAATTAAAATTATAAATTATGAAATGAAAAATATTTTGTTATTAAATATTTAACTCAATGTTTTTAAAAAGAAATACTAAAAAAATTGAAAATAAATATTCAAGTTACTTTAGAGTAATAAATTTGAAAACTTCATGTTTTCACAAACTGAAAAAAAAAATAGCAATAATATATCGGGTATTGGGTTTATGAGCATAGTTGAGAGCCAGAGTTTATAGTCAATAAAATATTTTTTATATATTATTTTAATCATATTTTAACTCTAATTTTATATTAATCCATATTTTACTAGAATTTTTGACTATTATACTAACTTGAGCACAGGATAATCTTTTACACACATTCTATTACTTAGTAGAAAACGAAAGACTTGAAAAACGAATATCAATAATAAGAATTTACAAAATGAAAGAAGACTTTACTAAAGTTTCATTGTATAAGAACATATTTAATCTCTTTTTGGATAAATCTCTACCAACTTAGTATGGTATCTAGATATTAGAGCAAGTAATCATATGTGTGTGGAAACGAGAATATTTTTTATAAATTCACCAAGGTGAAAGTCGAATTTGTGTTTTTCGGAGATGACTCCAAAAAGGCGTGTAACGATCCGGCATATGTAGAAGCATGGACGAGTTGGAGATATTAGGGACATTTACTATGTTCTCGAGCTGAAGAGCAATATTTTAAGCATGGGTCAGATAATTGAAAAAGGTAATTCAATTTTTATGAAGGACCAGGTATTGTATTTAAAGGATAAGCATGGTCGTCTAGAAGCCTAGGTAAAAGCGAAGAAAAACCGGTTGTATGAACTGTAGCTAAAGATCTTGCAGAAAAGGTGCTTGAAACAAGATATGACTAGCAAGAGCTCGGATAACTCCACAGATGAGGTACATGTAGCATGTTTGTTAACAGGTGCAGAAGATATAAAATTTGAAGAAGTCGTGCTTGATGAAAGATGGAAGAAAGTTATGGATGAGGAGATCAGCTCAATTAAAAAAAATGAAGCATGGGAGCTGATAGATTTACCCACGGTTGTTCGACCAATTGGTGTAAAGTGGGTATACAAAAAGAAAATTAATGCAAAAGGATAGGTGCAGTGCTATAAAGCTCGATTGTGGTGAAGGGCTAGAAATAGCAAAAGGTAATTGACTATGATGAAGTATTCACTCTAGTGACAAGGATGGAAACAATCCGATTACTATATATTCTTACTAGCAGCTCAACAAGGATGGAAGATTCAGCAAATGGACATGAAGTCTACATTTCTGAATGGTTTTCTTAAAGAGAAGGTCTATGTAGAGAAACCTCTTGGTTACATGAGAAGAGGTGAAGAAAAGAAGTTGTTGAAGCTAAAGAAGACATTATATGATCTGAAGCAAGCTCCTCGAGCCTGGAATGAAAGAATTAATACCTATTTAAAGAAAAATGCTTATGAGCAATGTCCGTATGAACATGCTCTATACCTAAAGAAGCCACAAAACAAGTATGTTATTTGTTGCTTTATATGTAGATGGTTTGATTTTCATGGAAAGTAAAGTCGAGTTGGTTGAAGAATTTAAAGAAGTGATGAAGAGGAAGTTCGAAATTGTTGATAGGGGGAGCTATACCAACCCTATATATATATATATGTGTGTGTGTGTGTGTGTGTGTGTGTGTGTGTGTGTGTGTGTGTGTGTGTGTGTGTGTGTGTGTGTGTGTGTGTGTGTGTGTGTTTGTATGTGTTTGTGTGTGTGCACGTGCGTGTGTATGGTTTCTTGCACAACAAATGACATAACAAATTGCTTTATTCATATTATGTTTGTGCTTGATATATGTATTCATTATTGGTTGATGACTCATGCTTTAAAATAGATTGAACATTTCATTTATGGAAGAAATAATCGGTTAAACAATATGTATACAACAAGACAATTGAATCAATTCTACATAAAATGTGGCCTTTGTCTTCCAAATTGAACTGAAGAATGTTAATGATGCATTGAAAGATGACAACTAGTTCTTAGCCATGCAAGAAGAGTTGAACCAATTCAAGAAGAACAATGTTTGGGAACCCATGCCAAGGAAAAATGCTCAACAAGTGATAAGAACAAAGTGGATTTTTAGAAACAAAATGGATGATTCTAAAGCTATCATCAAGAATAAAGCAAGACTTAGTGGCAAAAGGATACAACCAAGAAGAAGACATCAATTGTGATGAGACTTATGCACCCACTAGCACAAAAATCACATTTTATGACTTACAAAAATGACCTATTTATGACGTAGTTGCTGGAAACATAATTTTGGGCGTTAGTCTACGCATTTTATGACGTAACAGAAATTTACGTTATAATATGTTCAACATATTACGACGTAATTTTTGTTACCTGTCATAATGCGTCCAGAGTGTATTATGACGTACATTGATATCTACGTCATAAAAACTTATCAATTCTCCTGGTTTATCATCTCATCCAATTAATCTACAATCAATTTACCTGGAAATCAATAAATCCAATTAAACAAACAAAATAAAATTCATATCATACAATAACTTGTCCAATAATATTTAATACATTATTTGTATATAAAACTATATATTCAATCCAAATATTATATTAACCTACCTATACAATACTAAATTGTAGCAAAGTTTCTACAAATTCCTAACACTTAAAATAAAAGAAGCCCAGTTGGTTCTAGAGTTGGTTCTAGTGTCTTTATCTGATAGGAATCTGAAGAGCATATGAAAGAATCTTGATAGTATGGAGCATAGCTTTAGCAAACAGTGATAGTGCACAATACCTACACAAGTCAAAGAACAGATAATAATTAATGCTGAAGTTAATTATAAAAGAAATAGAAAGATGAATATAAAAGTAATCATGGACTTCAAATTTCAATTCGAAAATTATGAAGTAATTATCATTGTTCACAGGGAAGAAAGACATCATTTTGATAGAAGCATAGTAAAATTTAAACTATGGCCAACACTCCAATTTTTATAAGAAGCAATGAGCAGAAAAATTAAATAAAAAATAGCTATAAATTATATGATTAAATTTAATATATTATTGTTATATTTACATATATTTTAACGAGTATAAAATATAAATAAATAAATAAATATGATTGTTACTTTATTAATAACCTAACAGATATTGATATCTATTTTATAATATTAGAATATATTATTTTGATCCTAAAGCAAAATTATCCTAGGAGAAGTTGTATACCTTTGTCACTTGAAAATATTGCTTGGAATTAATGCATTGTAGCATAAAATAATCCAAGTAATTTATCTTCATAAGTAGCATAGCCCACTGGAGTAAATAAACCCAAAAAAATTCATGACTGTTTGTAATTTAAGCTAAGGTATCAAAAAGGTGTTCCATAGCTCATTGGCCAGACCCAACTTTCGCCAGAATACATTCTAAAGGAGCAAGGCTTGAATATGAGGACAGCCAAAGAGATCAAGGATGAGAGGTCTCATACTGTATTTAATCCCAGATAAGTTATAAATAATATATTTTGAGGCAAGGTATGAAGTTATAGTTTAATGCAACACAACATTGCATCTTCATAAATTCCAAAACCATGTATGCAGAAACTAGAGCTTAAGATCAGTGGTTATACTCACCTTTAAATTTCGTGCACATTGCCCAGTCAGGTATTGGAAGAAAACCATCAAAAGCAAGTCAACTCTTTGCCTTCAGAAGGGGGATGGGAAACACAGATAAATATTAGTTTAGCAAGCAAAAAAAACTATCTCTTACCATAGAGTAGTGACAAGAAAATAGGTGAAGATCACTTTCAGCCTCTTTAAGGATCTTTTGACTGGGATATTCTGATTTTCCTCCTAACAAATCCCAAACCTTTTCAGATTCAGAACCTTCTCTTTGTGGTTTGGTTGTGATTCAAAAAATTACCTGGCAAGCAAGAAACTTCCTACCCGATATTAATAGATTAACGTGTCAAGATTCTAACTATTAGCAACCACCCAGACTTAGTGTAGCGAGCAATAATTCCAAGCACTCAAGAAACCAAACAACATGTAAATGCTTCTACTCTAATAAGTTGCATGAACCAGATTTATTACCTCATAACAGAGTCTTAACATAAACACAAACAACATAAACTATGATATGCTAAATGCCATTAGGGAGCTTCATTGAAAGCACTTAAAACCAACTTATTCCCAAACTTAATATTCAATACAACACCTATAATATTACAGATTTTGGACAAGGTTTACAACTTTGAAGGAACTTTTGAAAGAACTTTTGAAATAATTTTAAGATGGATAAAATGAAAAACTTGATTGTATAGATGGAGAAAGAGTGAACCTTAACGTCCTTGGAGAAGCGAGAGAGCAAGAAATTCTCAAATTCTTCCAAGCTGAATTGCTTAAGGGCTTGTTCTTTTGAGTGGATTTGAGGGAGTGAATTTGAGGGGATTTGAAAATAATTTTTTTTGTCGTTTTTTTGAACGAATTTGGAGGTAAATGAGAGTGAATTTGAAAATAATTTTTTTTAATTTGTCACGTCAATACAATTCTATACTAATTATCACAAATTTTATTTTCAAATTCACTCTCATTTACCTCCAAATTCACTCAAAAAAACGACAACAAAAATTATCTTCAAATCCTCTCAAATCCCC